ATGTGGGTGTGGCCTCGTGGCTGTGATGTGGCACGTGGCCTGGTGGCTGTGATGTAGAGTGTGGCCTCGTGGCTGTGATGTGGCACGTGACCTGGTGGCTGTGATTCCTGGTGCACGTGAGGGTGTTTTAGTTTTGTGCTTGTATTCCTAGTCACATTGTAATCCAGCTCAGACCTGGACGTGACCTCAGCCCAGCCCGTGCCCGGCCCCCGCACTCTGTGGTTCCCCCGTGGGACTCTCATTCCTTCTTTTTTATCCTGCGTTGCTCGTTCCTCCAAGTCCTATTGTTTCATTGGCGCCGTTTTTAACTTTCTGAAAAGAGTCCAGGCCATGTGTGATTTTCCGGGACTTAATTATGTATTCTTGTTAAACTTCATCTGCAGAGCAGTGTGTGGCCATAATGTGCCACCTGCTGTGTGTTATCCCATCGGGTGAAGGCCACGTTTAAATCCCCGCTTGTGGGGGCACCAAGGGGTGCAGGTGTTTCCTGGTGTGCACACCGAGAACAGATCTGGGCGAGGTTTCTCTAGGGTGTGTGCCCAGGAGGAAGTGTGGCTCGTGGGGCAGGTGGATGTACATCTGTTCCTGGAACTCCCCCGGCCACACGCCGGAGAGCACAGTGTGAGGATCGCTGGCTCCCACAGGACGTGGACGTGGTAGGGACCTGGGATCTGGGGTCTGGCCTGGGGTCTGGCTCCTGCGTCCTGCAGGAGTCTCGTGCATGGGAGGACACCGCGCTGCGTCTCTTTCCTGCGTCATGGGGGATGTGGTGAGGAGTGCCTCTCTGGTGAAGGTTTATAACCCTAAAATGTATTGACTCCCCCGTTTGCTTATGTGAGTTCTGTCTCTTCATATTTATGATGTTATAAATTAAAATCAAGACATTTTAAGTTAACTATTAATTCATTTAAAAAGCACAATGCCCATTGTATGTTAACATACATAACACTTTTATGAAGAATATTTTCCCTCCAGAATTAGTGAGAAGAGTGGCATTGGGTTGCGTATTTGTAAATCTTTCACGTCTGGGTTGTGGAAAATGCCTGGATTTTCACGGCAGCTTCTGCATTCAGTCGGCTGTGATATCAGTCACGTGGCCCCAGCCCCAACCCCAAGCCCAACCCCAGCCCTAACCCTAACTCCACTGTCCGCTCGGGAGGGAGGGGGAGTGACCGAGGCGAATGCCGTCTCAGCATCGTTACAGAAAGAGTTTAACCTCTTGAGCCACACTTGGAGAAAAGCTGGCTGACGGTGTCCTCTGCCGAAAAGTGGTTGCTCAATTTTAACATCATCAAATATTTTAATGGTTCTTCTTCCGTTAGGGTCTAACCTTCACAAGAAACCTTTCCTGTTTCAAGGTTGAGCCGATAGTCGCTACTATTTTCTACCAAGAGTTTTAAGTTTTGTTTCACATTTCATCCACCTGAAGTTAGTTTAACGTTGCAAAGTTTTGTTGTAGGGGTCTTAGATATCGTTTATTAGATTTTCCTCAGGAATGTGATGTTTTCTGATTCTATTCTAAAATTCATTGTCCTCTTTTTGTTTTGGTTTGGTTTTGAGGCAGGGTCTTGCTCTGTCACCCAGGCTGGAGTGCGTTGGAGCAATCACGGCTCACTGCAGCCTCCACCTCCTGGGCTCAAGTGATCCTCCCACCTCAGCCTCCCAAGTAGGTGGGGCTACAAGCATGTACCACCATGTCCAGCTAATTTTTCAAAATTTTTGTAGAGACAGGGTCTCGCTCTGTTGCCCAGGCTGGTCTCGAACTCCTGTCTTCAAGTGATCCTCTCTCCTTGGCCTCCCAAAGTGCTGGGAATAAAGGCATGAGCCACTGGGCCCGGCCAGTTGCCCTCTTTTTAATTACGTTTTCCTGTTTGTTTGTTGCTAGTCTACAGAAATGAAATGCACTTTTTTTCTTTTGAGACAGGGTGGAGCACAGTGGCATAGCTCACTGCAGCCTAAAATTTCTGAGCTCAAGCAATCCTCCCACCTCAGCTTCCTGAGTAGCTGAGACTATAGGCACACGCCACCACGCCCAGCTAATTTCTTTATTTTTATTTTTGTAGAGGAAGGCTCGTGTTATGTTGCCCAGGCTGGTCTCGAACTCCTTGGCTTAGGTGATTTTCTTACCTTGGCCTCCCAAAGTGCTGGGATTACAGGCATGAGCCACTGTGTCTGGCCACAATTCACTTTAATATCTTTATTTTACATCCAGCCATCTTGCTAAAGTTTTTTTAATATTTCTAATAACTTATAGATTCTTTCAGTTTTCCTATTTAACTGATTAATCACTGACAAAAAACAAGTGTCTTTCCTCCCATCCCATGGTCCTGCTACACGTTTTCCTTCCTTCTCTTACTCAATGCTGCAAGGAACAGCAATGAGTGTTGGAACAGAAGCAGAGCGAGGCTGAGCGCTGTCCCATCTCAGGGAGGAACTGACCACTCTCCCCATCCCCCATTCTAAAAAGAGTGCTTTTCACCTTCCTCATCCAGAATGGTGCCTGCCTCCACCACGACTCCCCCTCGATGCTGAGTTTTGTCGTGAATGTGTGTGTCAATTTTACAAGATGTTTCTTCTGCATCCTTTGACATGATCCTTTAATTTTTTCTTCATTAAGATTCTCATAGTCACATCTTTATTTTCTTATATTAAATCATCCTTTCTTACATAGAAAAATCTAAATTGGCCAAGTGTCTTGTCTTTCTTATACACTGTTTAATTTGATTTACTAGTGCTTGCTTCAGATTTTTGTGCGTATTTGAGCGGACTGGCGAGTTTCCATTCTGTTGATGTTTTCGCTGGTGTTGGCCTCAGGATTGTTCTGATCCTGTATGGGCAGCACCCCTTCCCTTTCTTTGTGCTGTTTATATAAGAATGGGATGATCTGTTCCTTGAAAGTCTGGTAAAACTCACTTACAGGGCCATCTGTTTTCTTTAGGAAAGATTTTTAACTACTGCTCAGTTTTTAATAGCTACAGGACTGGCTGGGCACAGTGGCTCACCCCTAGAATCCCAGCACCGGGAGATTTGGGGAGGCTGAGTCAGGAGGATGACTTGACGACCAGAGTTAGAGACCAGCCTAGGCAACAAAGTGAGACCCTGTCCCTACACAAAATTTTAAAAATTAGCTGGGTGTGGTGGCATGTACCTGTAGCCCCAGCCATTCAGGAGGCTGAGGCAGAAGCCCAGGAGTTGAAGGTTGCAGTGAGCCGAGATTACACCAGTGCACTCCACCCTGAGCAGCAGAGTGAGACCCCCACCTCTTAAAAAAAGGCTTACAGGACTGGTCTCTGGTGTTTCTTACTAAGTCAGCTGTGGGTCTACTTTTTATGTTTGTAAAATCTCTGGCCTTCAGCGGCAGGTGCTCTCCTCTTCGGCCACTGCACTAGCCGCAGGTCGCCCTGATTCTCTGGACAGTTAATTTGTGCTTTCTCTTCTCAGTCTCACTAGGGCTTGTTTAGTACATTCA